CGGTTAATATAGTTTTGGAATAAACGGGTATCACCCATCAACCATCAAAATACATGTTTCTATAATGGTTGTATTATTATAATAATTACTCAATCCATACCAAAATGCTGATTGTAGGTGGATATCCATCGGCGGCGGGTTCTGCTGCCCGGTGTCAGGGTTCTGCTCGAGAACATAGGAATCTGCCAACATGTTCTGGTTGTGGAACTGTCTTTTCTACTCTTCTTATATATTATATTATATCCATATATAAATATTATATCTAAAAAAAAAAAGTGATCAATCTTTGGTAGTGAACTCAGATAATAATTTGAAGGGGGGCGTGGACCTCAAAATTTTGAAGGTCTAGAATATGCAATTTGCTTACAAGTTTGGAGAAAATTAAACCCTAGGTCTCGAACAAAATTAAAAGGGGAATGGACTCTCCAAGTGATCCCTAACTTCAAGAAATGGCTGGGAAGAACCGTGATTTAGGTGCCTTTGTCCTTTCACATGACTTAGGCACTAGCGAATCACGGTGGTTTCCAGCAATACCTATTCCGGAAGGTAAGAGTTTCTAACGCAGCATGCCAACACTGTTGGGGGGACTCTCAGAGCACACACTATTTGTGTGCCCATACTGTAGCGGCCACCAGGAAGAACTAGGTGCCCTCCCTCCGGACCCAGAAGAAAAAGGCATTTAGCTGGCCAACGCTGACCAAGCTTTCTGGCTTGTCTACAAAATGGTAGAGGACATCCTTTTTTGAAGGAAACAGAAGAAAGAGCAAGGCTGGTGGCTGGAATATTAGCTCGATCACTTTACTCGGACACCAGGACAGTACTAGAATTCGAGACCGGAGGTTGGATCCATCCCCAAAACATATTAACTAAGTTGAAATAAAAATATGAAAACACACATCATTGTAAAATCAATACATTCACCACTCCACTCTGAAACTGAAATAATAAAATAATAATTTAAAAATGAAATTTAAGGACGATAGTTAGATCCAATTTTTTTGTATTATATTTGGAGTTATTTTATTTTTTTATTAGGTTATTTATTGCTAGTCGGGTTTTTAGTGCTACAACAGTGCGTTATTTTAATAACTTAATAACTTAATGATTATACAGTTATCAACCACAAAATCCTACTGTATTATTTTACATTGTTAAAACAATTATAGTCGCTGTCAGTTGGGACTATTACTAGTATTACTCATGTTAAATAACCTAAATTAATATTATTTTTAAAATATGTATCAATAACATATAATAATTTGTTACATGATTTCATTCTCACTTTCATTCTCACTTTCGTTAAAACTCAATATAACTCAATATCAATTGATCATCTAATATAAGTGTTTTATAAAAATGATTCTAATAAAATTGTATATTTGTATTGGTTTTATTTTTGTCTCAAACGCACAATCCTCATTTAGAACTAACTTACCTTTGGTAAGTTAAAATTTTCTCTCATTTTATTTAAAGGGACATATAACATATCGACTGTTTAATGTTATTGATAGTTATGTGTAATAACTAATTATGATACATATATTTTCTAATTACAGGGAAAATATCGATTGGTAGTCAACGCAATTCGCTAGTGTGAAAACTCAATACATCTACCGATGCAAGTGCATTTATATTTGAATAAAAAGAAATCCAATATTACAGAATTAAGGGGTAATTTTACAGTAGGAGTACCTTTTGACGATTCCTTAATAGTAAGTGAATTTTAAAAAATATAATATTTTGGTTTGCAATGGAACTGTTTATAATAAAGGTAATATTATGATATATAACCCTATATGTTATGATATTTATTGAAAATGTTGCTATTCTCTTTTTGTATTAATTTTTGCTATTTTGAATGTTTGTGTAATGTATATTAATTTAATTCATTAACCACACTGGTGGCAAGAGGTTCATAATGTTCATTAAAATTAATTTAATTAATTTAATTAATTTATAAATCCTTGTATTTATTTTCTACTCCCATACCTTTTCTGAAATAAACAAAATAATTATCATGTGATTATTATAACTTCACATAACATTTTAAATTTTGTAGTTCGTTCTTCAATCAGCCTCCCACCATCGAATCTCTTTATTTCCAAAACAACACATATTGATAACTGATAAGCAAACCATACAAATTATAATATAATATAAATTGCTTAAAAATATACCGAATATTAAATATTATTATACCATTGAAGTAGAATAAAGAACAAAAGTTGAAATATATACAAAAATAGATTACTATTTTTGTTGTTTTATTATAGTTTTTGGTATACATTTCGGGTTAACGGTCAATTTTCAAATCAAATAATTAAAACTATAAATTAAAAACTGTTAAAAATTTATGTGGATTGTATATTTTATTTTAAATTATATTTTAATGTGTAGGTACTTAATTAATTACCTACTTGTTTTTAAATTTCATAAAATTATATACAATTTCTACCATCAAATTACAGAATTTTGTTTTTATATAATGCTATATTATGTTACAATTATTTTGAATTTTGAACGTTTTAACTTTTTTAAAGTTAGGTTCGAGTATATACGATAAAATATTTGAAAACTTTAGTTCATGTTCACTAGTTAAATAATGTATACTCTGTTTTATATAAAAGTAACCTCAGGCGATTCTATCCCTTTTCTATTCAAGAATCCGGCTATAGCTCGTAATTTGTTAAGATTAATACAAAAATGAACAAGTAAACTATAAAAACGGTTTCAATCGAGAAGTACCTATCAGTCTTACTAAACCGGACAAAAATCAGTCAGCATCCAAAGTTATTCTGATGTGAGATTTTACTGCTGTACTAAAATATATTATACAAGCTTTAAAAAATATAAAGACAAACTAACAAGCTAAAATTATTATGTCCTATACCTTAGATAATAAGTCTTAAAAATACATTTTTCTACATAAATTTAAATATTAATTTTAAACGTTTTACATGAATGTTAAAGATATTTTGAAATAGTTAGGTATGTTTAATAGTACCTAAAATAATATAATTGAAATAGCTTACAGTTAATCTAACGTTTCATTAATAAATGTGAAATGTGAAAATCTTATTTAGGTCTAAGATATATTATGTTTTTTTTTGATAATTATTGATTCATTTCAACCAAAAGCACATACTATATACAAATAATAAGTTATAATTAATGTATAATATATAATAACTACGAAAATATGACTTTTTAATTATTCGATTACGTTTAACTATTTTCAATTAAACCTTAAAATGTTTCACTATAATATTTGATATAATATGTTTTTATATTGTCATGTACCTAGTTTGATGGAAATGCTGCATCTTTGGGTACTACAGGAGATTGGAAACCAAATCCTATTGTTTACGTAGCCAATAATGCTTGTTCTAAAGCAAAATTCATGGCAGGAAATGCTTGGTATACATTTACAAAAGCTTTTAATATTCCATCTGGAAAGTGTCCAATACCAATGGTAATATATTATATTTACAAATGTAGTTATTTAAAATAGTATGAAATTATATATTAGCAAAATTTAAAATATTCAAATATAAAAACATATAAACTATCTGTTTGATCGAGAGAAAAAGTATCATCCGTCATTATTATTGAATATTTACAGGGTACTTATACTACATCAACTGGTTATGACACAGCACTTCTTGAAGACAACAATTTACCCAAAGTATTCTTTTATGGGAAATATAAATTTGTAGGCAAGGTAAAAACCAAAGATAATAAACTACTAGGCTGCATATCTTATGAGGTAGAATTGTTACCTAACCATTTGAGGTAAAAGTATATAAGAATTGAAACTTAATACATCGGACATAGGTAATACCTAAAAGTAGCTGTGGTGTAATGAAAGTGTATAACTTATAATAATTTTGAAATAAAATCGGTGCTTAATGGAAAATATTATATATTGTATATTATCTGTTAATACTATAGCGTATTATATTATATTGTTCAAAAAAATGTATAAAACTATATTATCCAGTATTGAGGATAGACAATAATTAACACTTATTCAAATCAACAAAATTATGTTAGACATATGACACGAAAAATGTAGATATCTAATGATTGAAACTGAATACATGGGACATGGGTAATACCTAAAAGTAGCTGTGGTATAATGAAATATTATTTTATATTGTATGTCTGTTCATATTATATCGTATTATACATTACTCACATTATTAAAAAATACTTAAGAATTGAACATTTTGTTTTATTGTAATTCAATTATTGCACTTCCTTAAATATACGGTAATATAATATCATAATTCATAATCAATTGTCTTGTTATTATTATTATTATTATTATTGCTATTTTGTATTGCAAATTTAGTAATCAAAATCTTTTTTATTTAAATTTCGTGTATAATGTTATCTTCTCCCTTATATAATGGGTGTTACCATAAAATTGTTTTTTGTTTTTTTTATTAAAAGTAAATTTTTTTAATATTTGAATTAGATTATTATTTTATTCTTATAACAATACAGGCCGCTGTCCAAAAACATAAAGCGGTTGAAATATGAAAATGTAAACATTTTTTGTACGATTATTTTAGTTTGATTAACAATAGTAACAACTAACAGTTATAATAATAAATATTAAAAGAGCCGGTAGATAAATAGTTTATAGATAGTTAAAAGTGGGTACCTATTCAAAGAAGAAGAAGACGCATAAAATGATAGAGTATGGTTATGAGGAGTTTATTATATAATTAGAAGTGGAAAATGGAATAACAAAGAGACAAGTAAATCTAGAATTACGAAGGGGAACTTCAAAATTGATTTGTGAAATAAGTGTAGAAAAGTCAACTTTGATAAAAGTTTAGAAATATATGATATATCCGCCGAGTTCCTACGTTCAGCAAGGCTGGATAAATAACCTTGTGGATAGATTCATAAGCGTGTGGAGATAAAGGATTTTTAACGGGAGTTCCAATTTGAACTCAGATAAAATACGTAAAATACTTTACAACAAACCTCTAGAATATGCAATTTGCTGACAAGTTTGGAGAATAATTAAACCCTAGGTCTCGAACAAAATTAGAACAAGTGATTGGAATATCATGGATGGTGTAAACGATAGTAATTGGATTGTCGATATGAAAATAAGACATAATCTTAATACATTTATAAATATTAAGTGTCAATCCTAGGGATTCACCCAAATTAACCATTCGGTCAAGGTCGGATTGGATAAAAAGGGTATCATTAGTATTTTGAATACGCATAAATAGTTTTATATCATCAGCAAACATAAGAAGTTGAGCATGACGTAGAACAGAGGTAGCACCATTAACCAGAATGGAGAAGAGTAATCGTGAAAGAATGGAACCCTGAGGTACACCAGATGAGAGGGTAATGATGTTGGAACTAGTACCAAGTAATTTTACACATTGCTTTTGATTTATTAAATAGGATGAGAACCAATTTTAATTTACTAGCTGTCCATCCAGCATCCAGTGTTCGTCCAGCGTTGTCCGGGCAAAGATTTGTATTTTTTTTAATATACATTTGCAATATTCATACGGTGGATTGAATGCACTTTGTGCCATCGCATATCCGGTGTTTTATTATATGTAAAAATTGTAAAATCAAAAACCTGAGTCGAGTGAGTAGCAATCACCCAGTCACGGCTCGTGCACAGGTGTGCGCACACCAAATAGATTAATATAGATATAATAGTAAAACTGTATTTTAATCTTAATTCAATATCTATTAAACTGTATTTATTCTATAATACAAAATTCAATATTTTAAAAAGATTTTATATTCACACGTGACAGTTATTATACTCCCAAAATGTAGTGCAATAAATACACATTAACTAGTGTGCAAGTCTGTCAGAATCACGATTAAAGATATACAGGTTGCACATCGCCCTATAATAACTAATAAACACCTTTCAGATTGATTTACAAAGTGACTATATAAAACAGCTATTAGCTATATAGCTGTTAATAATTAACTACTAGCGCTTGATGTCAACACTCAACCATATGTGTCGAAATTTAGAACTAATTTTACACCTAAAAATCTAAAATCGGTTAATTGTAATACTGCCGCTGCCGCTTGGAGCGCTACTGGTTAATTTTTACTAGTCATTTCATGCACGCCTTATCTGATGCCGATGGGCAACCTATATAACTTTAATCGTGATCAGAACAATATCGGTCTGTGTAAATATGTTCGACCATTGAATGGGGGGGGGATTTAACAGGTAAAAAGGAACGAGATATGCAGCGCTGCACTCCTATAGTTGCTTATCCGTAGCGATGTCGCCGTATTGGTATGATTTAATTAACTCCACCACTCTATTTTTATTATTTTTTTTCATTCAAAAATTTCTAATTTGGAGTTTACTAATATCTCTGTTTTTAAGGTACTTTTTCAATAATTGTATAGTTAGTTATATAGATTAAATCAAAATTCTTATTGTACTCATAAATAGATAAACTATGTAGACAATAAAAAATGCACCGACACATAATTTGAGGCTATCTCTCATGCATGTCAAATAACAACATACTAATGTAGGTACTATCGTATCATTGTTTATTAATATGCAAAATGCATTTATTTTTACATATTGCACTTTTAAAACCCAATACAAAATCTAAACTAACTTTTGAGTAAGTAACACCAGTAAAAACAAAATAGATTTTTTCAAAAACTGGTATTGCCTAAATACAAATACCAGTTTTCCTCAATGTATTTTTTGTTTTTCTCGATTATTTAAAAAATTACTATTTAATATTATTACTAATAACTATTAATTTTCGATAAACAGCTGTACAGTTTATGAAATAGATCCAATTTTCTATCAGAATCAAACTTCAAACATTGAAATCTAAGAATATATTCTACTACATTTCATCGTACATTTCAGGTCCTCGAACCCGAACAGGCCAGCTTGTGACTGACCTTAGGAAGCCCTGGAATCTCGTTTTTTTATTTCAAGTCAGGTATTGGGTATTACACAAAGCGTTATTTTTATAACTTAATAACATTATGATAATACAGATATCAAACACAAAATCTAACCGTAATATATTACATTGTTAATACAAAACATTTAAATTTAGTCAGCTGTGACTAGTACTCATGTTAAATAACCTTAACGAATATTATTTTTGACTGTACCAATAACATATTATTATACTTAGTAGCTTGATTTCATTCTCACTTACATTCAAACTCAATATTGGTTGATCATCTAACGCAGGGGCGCATTAAGGGGGGGGGCAAAAGGGGCATTTGCCCCGGGCGGAAGTTTTTTGGGGCGGTACATTTTTGTAATTTTTTTTTTTTTGTATCTCAGAGTCAAAAAGAAAACATACAAATTGTATGACATAATGGAAAACTCGGGTTTAAGAAACAACTAATAATAATTAGAACTATCATACTAATGTACTATTAAACGTTATAAATTATGTATATAAAATTATGTCATAGTATGAGATGGGCATTAATATGCAAGCTTCAAACTAGCACCCTCAGTTTATTTCAGTATTTCACCAATCATTTATAAACTATCGTGGTTTATTGGTTCGGAATTTTTCTTTTCATTACAAATATTAACAACTGTTTACGAATTCACGAATTCATTTTTTTTTTGTCCGTCATCATCTTTTAGGGCAGTAAAAGTGCTTGGATTTTCTTCAACAGTATCTTTTCTGATAGGAAAGTGAATCTAGTTGGTACTTTGGGGGGGTCAAATTGTTATAAGCATTTAAATTCCAAATATTGACAAAATACGTGAAAATTAAGAAAATTTGCAAATTATTTCGAGTTAGAAATTCATAAAAAATTTTCTTTTTAAATCTAAGATATGAAAATGTAATGCAAGATTCCTCATAAGTTTGTCTACCTTTATCAAAAAAAAAAAATGTCTACAAGAATCTCAAATTAAATTTTTATGAACGTTTGAAATTCATATTTTTACAACATTTGATATTCACTCGATTTCTCGTGTAACGATTTTCTAATTTTGTTGTAATTAAAAAACGAATGACTGTAGATACTTGAAAATTTTACTAAATTTTTATATTAGCATTTCCTATACACCATATAGTTTTGAAAATATTTTGATTCTTTTTGAGCTATTTACGGACATTTTCAGTTTTCAATATTTTAATTTTTTTTTCTATTCATATCAATAAAATTTTATTTGTATGGTAAAAAAGCTTGAAAATTTAATGCAAAGCTCCTAATATATTGTTACAATAACACTTGAAAAATATTAAAAATACATAGGCACAATTTTTTTTAATAATTATTTAAAATTCAAATTTTGACAAAATTTATCACATTTAAAATTTAATAATAATTTTATAGTTAAAAATTTATAAAATGTTCAACTTTTATAGCTAATGATTGAAAATTTAAAATAAGATTCTACGTAAATAGGTTATATATAAATTGCTTTATTCACCTTAGTATCATCAAATATACTTAGTAATATCATAGGCTGACTAACCGTCTTCGCTCAGAATCGTTTTTCTTATACAATGATGTTAGTATATCATTGAATTCAAATTTAATACCATCGATTATACAGGGACCCACTTGTACCCTACTGTACAGCAGAGCACCTTTTTTTTGTTTATCAAACTTAAATAACTTTTATTTTGGTTTTGATATCGGAAATATAAAAACAAAGTTACAGAGTAAATTTTCTCATTTTTATAGTGTGAACATTTAGTTTCTTAGCTTAGAGTAGAGCCTGAATGTTTTTTATACCCGTGCAAAACAGTTTTGCCTATGTTGTACCTACGTCTGTAATACGGAGACAACACATGTGGGTGTACCTAGCGTACCTAGCCTCTTCTTTACAATCATACAGACTATTTGATACATTGCACTTTAGAAATTATTGTATACACTATACAAATTAAATCTAATGCAATGCAGAAATATTAGGATTAGGAGGTGTGAACCATAAATTATCCCAGCACCCCCTGAATTCACACCCAATGTGCGCCAGTGGCTGTCAATAGAAAATGAGATGATTAGAAGTATTGATTGGTCAAATATTATAAAAGAGTTTGTGAACAAAAAAATAAGAAAATATTTTAATTAGTATTGTTCCATATTTGTCATTTAAATAGTTTTATAATATGTAATAATATTTTATTGTTAATAAAGAATAAAGATATATTTATTATTATAAGTCAATGCTTAATACATAGGTACTCCATAAATAACTAAAAATATAGGAGTTGCTTACTAGGAGGTATTTATTAGTTAATGAAGTATAAACATTTTACATAATAAATATTCCAATTACCAGTACTATTTTAAAAGAAAGGATTATTATTCCAAGTTCCAAATAGATATTTAGTAATTCATTTAATAAGATATCTATGTAGGTATAATAACTGTATGAAATGTAAGGTACAAACTTAATTTTTCGAGCGCAGCGAGGACATTTTTTTTAAGTTTTTTATACTTTCATTAATATTCATAAAATACACCAGGGGCGCAAAATAATTTTGCCCCCCATATGTGAACCCTTAATGCGCATATCCCTGATCTAACGTGTTACATAAAAATGGTTCTAATAAAATTGGATATTTGTATTGGTTTTATTTTTGTCTCAAACGCACAATCTTTATTTAGGCCTAACTTACCTATGGTAAGTTAAAAAGTTCTTCTATTTTTAAAAGGGACATATTACATATCGACTGTTAGCAATTATTGATAGTTTGAGTTATGTTTTAATTAAGATACATACATTTTCTAATTACAGGGAACATTTCGATTGGCAATCAACGCAATTCGCCAGTGTGAAAACTCAAAACATCTACCCATCCAAGTGCATTTATATTTAAATAAAAAGAAATCCAATATTACAGAATTCAGGGGAAATTTAACATTAGCAGTACCTTTTGACGATTCATTAATAGTAAGTGAATTTTAAAAAATATAACATTTTGGTTTTGCAATTGAACTGTTTATAATAAAGGTAATATTATGATATATAACCTCCATATGTTATGATATTTATCGAAAATATTTCTATAGCTTACTATACTACTATATTTATTAAAAATATTGCTATTATCTAAATTTGGGTTTACTTTGAATGTCGTAGTGTATATTAATGTAATACATTCATCATACTGGAGATAAGTGGTATAATTTTCATTAAAAATATAGTATGAATCCTTGTATTTATTTTCTACTCTCGTACCTCTATCTCTGTTTTATATAAAAGTAACTTCAGGCGCGTCTATCACTTTTCTATTTAAGCATC